TATTTTACTCTTACCAAACAGAGAGAATTATACTATGCAAGGCCTCCAGGACTATTTTGTTTAATCCTTTCTGGACAGGGGAGGGGAGATGTTGTAGCCATTTGTTGAGTGTATGAAGCTTCCTCAAAGACCAATTTCCTTTTTTTTTTTGTTGTTGTTATTTGCACTGTCTCTGCTACATTTTAAACAGATTTGAAAACAATTACATTTTAACCCGACCGACCAGATTGACGAACCAATGATAATAATAATTACTTTACTTCAGTGAAAATTTATACAAAATATTGATGATCTAATGTCTATGAAACACTATTTAAAGGTCTACTTTTCAGTGATGATCTGTATTCTGTAACCACCACCCTTTTTACGAATTTTTAGAATCCGCATCAGAAAGGAAAATAAACATGTATGCAGATTCAGGTTCAAAAATTAAGACTAAAATGATAAAGAAGCAAAGTCACCATCTGAATCTGTTGAGTGAAAATTATGGAATAAAAGCACTTAAGCTAGTTTGATTGCTCAATGAAATTCATTAATAGTAATAATCTAATTTTAACTTAGAAATCGAAACCCTATCATAGAAGTTGAATTTTGATTCCTCTATTTTTATTCTAACAATAAAAGAAGATCCGACGTTTCCTGCTCATCTTTCCATACCAGTACATAGAGAAAAAAATATGCTCAAAACTAGCAAAATGTGGTAAAATATATCGTCTGACACCATGAGAACACCAAAAGAACGAATATATTTGTTCCACTTTGGTTATAATTTTGGTACAATTAACAATGAAATATTGTTTTTTATTATATGATACAATTTGGAAAATGTGGTAAAGTTTGGTATTGTTAACATGATATCTAAGAATCATTTATTAAAAGATATTTCTAAAATATCATATTAGTACCATAAAAACCATCATCCTGGAACAATTAAAATCATTTATTAGTTTGAATTTAACTTTTAGTTTTGTGTCTTTAACAAAACGTGCGACAATAGGAAATATAATTTTGAAAAACGGAAATTCTGGTTACCCGTTACCGTATGAATATAAAAATTATAATTTGAATGGTTTTTAGGTCACTTATCTTTATTTTACTCATCAGAAATATGGCTTTTGTCCCCAGAATGTATTCCTTCGTATAATTCTTTCAATTTTGATAGATTTTATGTCCTATAATACTTAATTTGCATATTTTTTTTCTTTCTTTAGTAAAAGAATCTAAAAAATATTCATTATAGGTGATCAAAAATGGTCTATATATAGATGGTGATAAATTTATTTACTTTTGTTTTAGCTGGACCTCTTTTTAGTATGTATCATTTACTGAAAATTTATTTTATGACACTATTAATTGCTATTCATTCTTACCTTATATGTGATTTTGACCAATATAATTTTTATGGATTCAGTTTTAAAATTTTAATGAAATATCTTAAAGTCCAAGAAATAATAATAAAATCACATTTTCAATTTAAATTTAAGTTAATAACTTACTTTTTTTAATACATTTGACCATAAACATGTAAAAGAGAAATGAAAAATTAATACCCTAGAAAAGTTGAGATTTTTAAAATGAATATTATTTATGTTCTTAATGTCCCCATTTGCATATGATGAATAGTTGCAATATTTTTTGATTAAAAAATTAAGCCATGTCTTTTTAAACATGTTAAATTATGTTTTCTCGGAACATATTAATTACGAATGCATAGGATGCAGCTATAATGTAAAAAAATATGCTCACAATAGAAAATCGTAGGATAGATTAAATCTTTGAAAGGAAATTTTATATTTTAAAAACTATTAGACTGCATTTTATTTAAGTTTTTTTCCCCAATTGTTAAATTATAAGTTATTTTTTTATTGTTAATAATAAGTTATTTTTTAAATCATATTCTGTCAGAAGCATTTTTTTAATTAATAATTTCTATATTTAACATTATGCAATGATTCATGCAATTAGTTTTTTCAAGTATATATTACAAAATTATTTTATAAGTATGATGGGTGGTCATCAGATTCTTACATAAAAATTCATGTCGAATTATAGACTGTATCAATTGTAGTAAAGTACTAAAAAGGTAGAAAAAACGCATTTATTTTCCTAAATGTTTAACAGAAACTTCTTTTTATTAAAATTGTGGTAGCGGTTAAATTTTTTGAATTTTTTAGTAAGTGAAATAGATTATTTTTACTATAAAATACGTATTATATTATAAGTTATAAGAAGAGCGATTTAATGTAAAGGTAAATGAAAATAGTGTAATTTTCATTTGTTCGTTACAACAGTATCTTTTTAAGAATTTCTTTTGTTAATCAAAATTTAAGATTCTTGAATTTGTTTTACTTTGTTAAACCAATGTTAAAGTAATGCCATTTTTTAATAACTTTTATGTAACTTATGTATGTAACTCTATAATTGGTAATCACTTTGTGTATGTAACTTATAATTGGTAATCACTTTGTGTATGTATGTAACTTATAATTGGTAATCACTTTGTAATATATATATATATTTATATATATATTACAAAGTGATTACCAATTATAAGTTACATACATATGACTGATATATATCTATATATTGTATCGTAGTAATACTATTACCAAAAATAGTCTTTTAACTGCAGCATTAATGTAACTGTGTTTATTAAACTTATTTTTAAAAGTAAATACTTTGCTACAATACTTCTAGCGTTTCAGATATTTCAAAAAATTGCAAAGACATGAAACGAAAAAAAAATTAACTGCATAAATTTATCAAGCATATCTGAATGATATATTTAATTGTATTTTTTATTAATTTTACTGAATATTTATTTCAGGAACAATCAATGATGGTAAAACAACATTTTTGTATTATTTAATTTATTGACATAATTTACTAAAATAAAAAGTAATAAAAAAATTGTTAACTTTTGAGGCCAGAATCAATAAATGTATTCGCTAGTATAAATGTAGAAAGGGTTTATTTTATGCTTTGCATGAATAAAGCAAGACAACCTGAAGAAAGCACAAATCAAGACACAAAAATTAGCATACTATAGTTATAGTTCTCCTCTGACACCCATCTTCCGACTTTTATTATCATGCTCAAGTTTCCCTTCACTCCCATTATTTAAATCATTTACTTTATTGTAATGAATTTTTTTCACTAGTTTGTCTGCTCCTTTGTATTTCTACACTAAGAAAGGTTTTTGTTTATTGAATCAAAATTATAGAAGTATAATCAATTTTTGCACTTTTATTTAGTATTTATTTATGTTCTCTTACTTTATTTGTTAGTAATAAACATATCAAGAACTGGACATTCCTTAAGTTTAGTATCAAAAAAGACGGAAGTTAATTTCATTAAGATTTCGAATAGATAATTCCTAGTTCTTTTAACATATTTTTTTCTAGTGTTTTTAACATATTTGAGTAATTTGTTTGCAAAGGATCATTATCCACGTGCCCGTATCACGTGCTTTTTTTCGAAGCTGCTATTTCGTAACTACAATTGTCTCTTACATAACTACAAAACTTTTTAACTCTAACTACAAGATAGTTTTTAATAAAAGCATATTTAAGAAATCTTGTTCAATAATTTAAAAAGAAAATGCATATTGAAAATTATGTTTCATGATATAATAAAATTGGAAATTAAAAATCCTTAATAATATGTGCTAGTTATTCGAATATACAACTTGCACATTTCATAGACTATTTGGTCATATAGTAGAAAATTTTCCTAGTTATGAAGTAAATATTAATATTAAACTTATAATAAAAGTAAACTACGTTCCTTAATTAACTTTATGCATTGCTCTCAAATCTTCTGCACTTATGAGAGATAAAATTACTCAAGAGAGAAATTTTATTTGTTTATAATTTAGGTCGCAGTATATAATTTTTGATGCAATATTATTTTACATTTGTAGGCAATTATAATTGTGTTAGAGATACCTCGAAAAACATTACTCTCCGTGATAAATACTAAAATCTAATTACACATTAATTAATGGAACCGAAATAATATTATTAAATATTTCTGCTCCAACACATTTAATATATTTCTCTTAGATTGTCTTCTCATACATCATTTCTTTTAATGTAAACTAAATCATTATCATACAAGATAGTATTACATAGTTGATAGTGTATTTCTAAATAGAGAATTCGATATTACTATTTTCCAGCTGATTTTTTATGAAATTCTTATTTTCAACTAATTTTTCTATTATTATTCTCAATCTCAAATATTTTATCTTCTCTTCATACATCTGATAAATTTTTTAAAGCAACTAATATTCACTATTATTTAGACAAATTTAAGTAGGAAAAACTTTCAAGCATTAATAAGCAGCATATGAGAACGATTTATCAGGTGATAACTATTTGCAACTAATTTCAGGCCCTGAACGATCACTTTATTATGAGCACCTTACAGGTTTACGTAAATATACTGAAATCCAAAACTGTTAGAATTTTAATTCTAAAATTACAATAAAATAACCTGTAGCAGTCTGTTCATACAATCAACCGTAAAGTTTACGATTAGAAACATTTCTTTCCCTTTATAGTTTTGAAGCCATTTACAAGTGGTATGGTTAAAAAACCATGAATATAAAAGTAACGGTTTTTTTAACCATTTATAAATAGCATAGTTTCAAAACCATAAATTTTAAAATTTAACTGGACATTGAATTTAAGCTTTTTGTCAGGTAATGAGCATTATATTTAAATTGCGGTTGAGTTATGTTTTATCAAGTGTACCTTGAAATATGATTTAATTAATTTTTCTGGTTGTTTCACATATCGAAAAAGATGGGAAATACTACATTTTTGTGTTAAGCGGCTTTATGGTGCTGCCATCTATGCAAGATATCAACGAATTCTAATAGTCCAGGGTCACAAATCGAGGAGTGCAGAACACTGGAAACTCTTCATGTGTTGAAGGATGAAATATTGTGGTGTCATAGCTGGAACTCAAAACCCAGCTCTGTTGGTCATGTGATGGACAGATTAGCCCACTCGTCTATAATATGTACCAAGCTGCAGGGAAATATATGGCTTTATTAGATATATCTGGTGCGATAAAATTCTGATTCTTCAACCATATTAGCCATTGATTTGAAACTTCACTTAAGCGCATTTTAGAAGTATAAGTATAATAAAAAGAAGTTCGAACAAAAAAATTAAAAAACCAAAGATTAAACAAAATTTAAAGCAAAAAAGGATTTGTCAAAATATTTAATTTGAATTATTAACAATATAAATGTCTTTGAGAAAAAAATATCTAAGCATCAAAAAAGTATGCGGATTAAAAAATAGCAATTGATTTTCAATTCAAGTTTTTTATATGAGCTATTTTTAAAATATTAAATCCATATTCAACATAATTGTTTATCATTTTTCAGTTATTATCATTGACTCTAGTAATAAAACAATGTTTGTATTTTCAGCTTTAGGAGTTGCTGGTGGTGAGTATTCATAATATATAGAATGTCTGAATAGTTTTAACCTTATTTCTTTATATTGTTACTGAACTTATCCATATTATCTTCGCGCAATTTGAAAATTTTTAAAAAAATGCTTTTTTTTAAAAAATTACAATTAATTGATCATCACAGTGTGACTAACAGTTTTAGTTGCGTGGAAGTTGTTGTGTGCTTTTAAAAATCAAAATCTATACTTCTTTGTGTTTTACAAGCAAAAACTGCATGTTTAATTTCATTTATATTCCGAAGAGCAAATTTTACCCACACTGTAAAAAATTTCGAGCTATGCTGCGCCAAACATTGGTATTCATTTGCTGGCTACATAAATTGGTGTCCAATTTTACTATATATTGATGCTTTCACTGGCTCCAAACAATGGGAGAAGGTTGCACCAAAAATAGGTATTTTGAAAGAACCTAAAAGCAACGAGAGGTTGCACCAAAAATTACACTCCTGCAAATAATTTATGAATTTTAGATTCCTTGAAAATATAATGCTTTTATCGAATTAGATTAAATAATCACTTCAAATTGTCAAAATTAACTGAGAGAAGATATAAATAATTTTAAAATTTGAAGTGCAATTATTTAGTTATAAAAATTATTTTATTTATTTCTTTATAATTTCAGACACTGTATCAGTTCGTACGTAGATTTTTGTTACTTACTCTAAGTAAATTCATTTTCAATATTGATTAAAGTCTTATTATTTTTATTTTGATGGAAAAATTGTTTTAAAGAATAAAATTGCTTTTCCTGAAAAATACTCTAATTATAAATCTATTTGAAAATATATTAACATTTGTTTTTCATACAAATATAATTCTATTTTTTCTTTTTAGTTGTTTCATTTCTTAACAGTAAGTATTTTCATATTATTATCTTCATGAAATCCAAGTAAGAATAAATTTTAATTGAATTTGATTAACAGTTAAACTATTTTTTTAAGCCAACCAAAATTTATTGAAAACTTATCGATAATTTATGGATATTTTTTTAAGCTAACTAAAATTTATCGTAATTTCATCAATTTCAAAGAAGAAATTCTTGCAAAACTATGACAATCAGAAAACAATTCATCTGCGTTGGAAAAAAAAATCTTTTGACATATTGTAATACATCATGTACACATTAAGTGAAACATTTATGGTCAAAACTACCAGAATGAGGTAAAATTTATCGTGTTTTAATACCAAAAATCTCGGTAATTTTCACAGAATTGCTTTGGAAAAGATTTTGTCGAAATTAACAATAGAATATTGTTTTGTAATGTGTCATAAAATTTGGGGAAAAAAGGAGAATTCGATAATTTAACCAAGATAACTTAGAAAATGGCATAATAAGCATTTATTAAGTTAAATTTACTTTTGAGTTTTTTATTTTTTGCTAAATATGTTGTAAAAAGATTTATAAACTTTGAGAAAACGATTTCACGTCAAATCGTGATCATATGAGCAGAAAAATTACCGAATAAATGGTCTTAATGCCGTATATTTAGATTTCATTACTAGAATTAAAGGGATTTTTTCTCAGAAATGTCATTGCCATACATTATGGTAATTTTACCGGAATATTTTTCTCCATGCAGATGAATCGGTATAATATGAACATGCAAAATATTATTTTGCTCATAAGACACTTCCATTTAAGCTCAAAATCTGCTACTAATAAGAAAAAAAAAATTCCGAATTTATAACTCTATTAAGATTCAAGTAACTTCATTATAGTAAGTCTAGGTAAGATGGCCAATTTAAATATCTCCGATATTTTTTTAATATATTGCAGTAGATGCAATTTCGCAGCAAGTAGTAGTAACTTGTTTATAAATTTGGACAAAACTATGCTTTGGGCTTTTCGTGACAAAAAAAAATCAATTAGAATTTCAATGTCTATTTCACTTAGGGGTCATATATGTTTTGCTAATGAAGCATTTTGTTATTTTTCAATGGGAAGAATATATTTTCGTTCAACAAGCGCTATACCTTTAGAATTAGAAATTAGTACAAATTAGGCTGTCATCTCATCAAGATTATGAGAGATGACCGTGTCTCATTAGCACGTATTAACATATCAGTGATATGTCAATATTAGTAAATAAAAAGTGGCCATCTCTCTTAATGATATTTGTTAATGATTTTCGTTTTGTTTTGTTTTGTTTTGTACTCTTAAGATGAAAGCTAATAAAACGAAATTATTAACTTTTTTAGTAAAATATTGAATCAGCGTTTTTAAATTTTTGAGGACCATACGAACCGTGCATTCCGATTCCGAAGACCTAGCATTTTATCCGATAGAGCCCTATAACCTAGTAGATAGAACACAGCACATTATCCGATTCTACACACTTAGAATTTAAAGAATATTGGTGTGTTAGCTGTTAAGAAAAACACCATATCACAACTAAAAACGATGACTGGATGAGATGTGCAAGGTGCGTGCAATGGCTTCTTAAAACATGCGCAAACTTTAAGAACATTTGCCAAAATTGTAGAAATTCATTTTTCGAAAGTAATTGATTAAATCTGTGCATTATATTTTGTTTATTAATTTTTTTTACTTTTTTTTTCAAGATAAAGTTTATTCCCTAAGGCTTCTAATAAGTTTTTCATGGTTAACTGTATGAAATAGGTTATTTTACATATTTTAAATTCACTTTTCTTTAGAGGGCTTTGAGACCTATACATTAATGAGAGAATGTCATTTGAGAGTTTAATTTCAAGCAAATTTTTTTTCATATTTTATTCTCGATAGTCCATTATTTTTTGCTCGAAATAGGGTGAGCAACATGTATGAGATTTCATAGCATGAATAAACATTTCTAGTATCTCTATTCTTTGTATTTTTGTTTCAATTTGGAAAAAAAAAACTATGGTCATCTATAGTTATTTAAATTTTTTTAATACTTAGATGTCACTTTTATCAGATTTTTAACATAAATTTTGTTTTCCAGAACATACCAGTAAGTAATTTCTTTTCAAAAAATACTATTTCATTGACTGTAAAAGTTCATATTAGAAAATTAGAAATTTTAAATATTATTTTGTAAAAATAATTGTAGAATTAAAACACTTCTCCTTCCGTATTATACATAGTGGTTCTAATTAACTCAAAGATCTCGTAAGCAAATAACATTAATACCAAAATCGTGTGATATGCCTAAAAAACCTGTTATTATGCATCGATAAATTTAGCGCATAACACTAAAAATCATCGTTAATGGGGAGTTTTTGTGTAAATAATAGTTATTAGTAAGGAGGAATAAAGGGGATACAAATGGGAGACTAAGGACTAGAAGTAAATTGATGAGGAATGAGAACATTCACATGAGGGTTTAATGAAGTTTAATTGAGAAAAATTAAAAAAGTAGCAAAAAATCAAAAATAAGAAAGATCCTAAAAATTATGATTTTGGAAAAGTATTAAAAAAGTATATAATTATTTGAAAGAGGGGAGGAGAAATACCCTTAAGGGTAGGAAATATATTTTTTTCCATGCATAGAAAACGTGACAAGAGAATACTTTATAAAGTTTCAAACCTCTAATAATAACACTTCCCAATTTTTCCGTTGAAATACTGGGAAAAATATCCTTCCAGTAACATTCACTTTTCCCGATCTTGTAATTCTATTCTTTTTCACGACGGACAAAATGTAGTCATAAAGTTTTTAGGAAATTTTCTCTGGCTTTCAAATATATCATAAAAAATTTTCTCTCCTGCATTTTTTTTAAAAAACTGTACGAAAAAAACCCCCCAGATTTTTCCAATTTTTTTCCCAGAAAAAATTTGATTGCAAAATGTGGATTCATGTTCAGCACCCCAAAAAATGTAAGTAAGCAAAATATAAGAAAATCCAGCCAATTTTCCAGGTATCGCCAAATTTTGAGCTCTGTTGCTTGGTCTATCCGATATTTATTGCACTTTTTGGTTCTATTTTTGCTTCTCTTATTCGAAAATCTCTGGCATCTTGGTGATATTTGCATTGAAATTTTTAATAGTATCAAAGTCTAATTTGCAAGTAAGTAATTAAATTTAAGTTAAAGGAACTTATTTCCGAAAAGTTCGTTAAGAATTTAAACTTTTTCAATGCTGTTATGTATATCTAAACATATTACTTATAAATTGAATCAATATATTTTTAAATAAAAAGTGACATTATTTTAAAAATTTATGGACATCTGCTTTCTTTTAAATTTTCCAGGTGGTCCCATAAACAGTAAGTCAGTTACAAATAACATTAATTAACTATGAGAAAAAAGTAAAATGTCACAAAAAAGTAGGGAAACATGGTTGAATTCTCTCTTTTTTAATATATGAATACGTTGCACGTTATTATACACAGTACACTGAGAAAAGAAGTTTTTCGAACTTGCCAGAATATGGTATAATTTAACTCATTTCTGGCTCGATAGCAATAGCAAAAGCAGGCTAATTTTTACCGAAACGCTTTAATAATGATCTTGGGAAAACTAATGGCAAAGTATTGCTTGATAATATGTGTTAAAATTTGGTAATTTCAAACCTTAGAGTATGGCATAAGAGCCATTTATTCAGCAAAATTCACTTATCAGTTCTGCATTCTTACTAAATGAAATGTGTGATAGTAAGAATTACAATTTTGAAAATTTCTAGTAAGCCATTACCTAAGATTGGAAACAGTTACCATATGAATGGTTAAAATACCAGAATGGTTAAAAGAGAAAAGTACAGAGCCGTAAAACGTTATCGCAAATTATATAAAGTAATAAACTATTATAACTCGATCCATGAAATATTTTCAATTTAACGTAAAGATTATCGAAAACTATATTACTTTTCCCACAATAACAGTATCTAACTACTAACATTAACTATAATAACAGTGTTAACTATTATAATAGTAACAGTTTAAAAATTAGTACAGTAATGATTGATGCCTGTCTTAGTAACAGCTATGTGTTCACTTGCGCAGACCACCTTTAAACACACAAAATATGCATTTAAACTAAATCTGAACGATGATTTTAAATCTTTTCAAAGCTGCAGGACGTAAACAGTTTAACTAGATTTTATTAGCTTGTTCGTAAACTGCAGAAAAAAATGGATCTAATCCGAATTTATAATGATAAGAAATTAATCTTTTTTACTTTAAATTTTTTTAAATGTTGCGTTTTAATCAAAAGGATTTGATTATAATTTTTTTTTCACACTGCAAATAATTTTTTTTTTGTGAGGCACTATATTAGCAAATGAGTACTTTTGTTATACATAATTTTCCAGCATTCGCTGTATTTTAACTGAAAGTATCAATCAAAATATATCATATTTTAAAACATTGTATCTTGTTTCTAAACGAAATTAAGAACATATCCTTTTAGAAATAGAAAATTTAAGTTTCTCATAAAATATTTAATGATTGTCACATGACAAAAACTGACTTAGTATATAGAAACACTGCCTGAATATGTAAGATAATTTCGAATTATTTTTTATTATTGCTGATGAAAACATTTCAGTTGTTAAAAAATAATTTTTTTATTATATTAACTGCAAAACTAGATATTTATCTCATTATCTCATTCCTGCCATTAAGGAATTCTTAGATACAACATTCGAAATATTAGATGCTAAGTATAACAAAAATGTTTATTAACGTACTTAATGAATATATTATTATTTCCAGATGCAGTGAATGGAGGTAGAAGCATGATTTTTTACAGGCCTAATAACACAATGAATTTAAATTTCATGTTTACCAACTTACGTTTTTCATAATATAACAGGGGTGATTGTGAGCCCAAGTCAAAATTCCGGAAAATATCTTGAGTAAAAAAAAAGTTTAAATCGAAAAATTAGAAAAAAATTTAAACAAGGATTTT